GTAATTTTGCCGCTCATTATGGACAAAAAATTTTGCCAAATCTGTCATCTTTGACAAAAATCCGTGACCGTGTGTAAAGAACAGTTTACAATAGCCCTGCCTTTACCATAACTAGGCTTAGTTGTTGGACTGGGTGTAACAGTAGTAAGTCTCTAGCCTGGGTGCCAGCCTTTTTAGCTTTCGTCCGCTCCCCATGAAAGCTAAAAAGGCTGACACTCAGGCTAGTAAGTCTCTACCAGGTTTCGGGAGACCGGGCTGGAAAGAGTAGAAATTGCGTGGCCAAATAGAGAGATATAACATGCTGAGGGAGTTGGTCCGCTAGAGGCTAGTTAGTAACTACTAGACACAGTGTCCTAGCCTGTCTTTCCTTGACGGAATTTTGCCTCTCATGACGGACAAAAAATTTAGCCCAAATCTGTAGTCTTTGACAAACGAAAATCTGTGTGTCTAAAGATATAGAGAGAGACATCAAAAACTAAGCTACATGTAAGTCTACCAGCAAATTTGCCCCTCTAAAAATGAAGGAAACAGCAATTCAGAGGGTCAAGATTTCAAAATTTCATACCCCCAGACCCCCCTAGGACTACATTTAAATAATGCATTTATGAAAAAAATTCAGGCTGGCTAGAACACCCTGACCAGACACCTTGGGCTGCTGGAAAAACAGCACAAATTGGCCAAATAACTTGATTAAATACTTTGACTTGTTGTGGAACCAAAGAGATGGATAGGTATAACCTCTGGTAGGATTACAGGGCTCGAAATACTGGGTGCATGTGCACCTTAGTGCACCCAAAATTGGAGCTGTGCAGCCCATTTTTTTTCCGTGGGTGCACTAGTGCACCCAAATATTTTTGTAGGTATTTTTGTACATATTAAATGTATAATTATACATAGGATATTCTTGGCATGTAAGGGTCAGAAAAATAATAAAATCTCTGTTGTAGTACTTGTATAAGATTTTCGATAATTAGGTTTTGTTTCATATGGTGCACCCAACAAATTTTTTGTGCACCTAATTTTTCAGGTTGGGTGCACCAGTGCACCTATTCCCAAAAATGAATTTTTAGCCCTGGATTATAAGAGTTTGTGTGGCCCAGGTTCACCCCAGCTATCAGCCATACCGCCAGCTACCTTATTTCAACCGGAGGATTAGCTTACTGACAGACACTACCCTGGTGGCAGCGTGTGGTGTGTATCAGTACCAAGGGTCGAGGGTTCCCTTCCCGTGTTTACGCACATTTGCGGAGATCTGAGGGACGTTAGCCGAGTCTGGGAAAGTCCAGAGCCTCTCCTGTCTTTTGTCGAGGAGTTAGAGTAGAAGCTTCGGTGGGAAAACAACTTTAAGGAAGAAAAACAACTTAAAGACTTGCCAAATCTTAAACCTGTAGAGTTGCAGGATTTATTCCCTGGTTGAATATGATAAAGACATTTTTCTTTTCTCATTTTTGAACTGAAGAAAGTTAGTTACGTAATCAATCAAGTTCGAATTCTCCCCTTCGCTGTTTTAAAAACAAACAACAAAACTTGACAGAGATAAACATCAACTGCAAACATACAGTGTATCCTTGGCAGGTGAATATAGAAGGCTTTGCTTCCTGTGCCTAAAAGAATACAGCCAACAAGTTTTCTTAGTAATCTAATCCAACAAGTATCAGTACCGTTTAGCTTTTAACGCTAATCTATGGAGGAATGTTTGTTTCCATGTTGGGATCGCTCCTACAGGTTTTGCACATGTGGTAAACAAACATGGTATAGGGCCACACCAATTCAATTTGTTGGTTCTCGGATATTTTCAGAAAAAAATGTGAAGCAACAGGGTGAAAAAAATGATAATAAAAACAGGCCTGAAGCAATTCCTATGAGTCTCAAATGCTATGATAGGAGCCATGAAGTCAATATATACTGGGCTGGTTTGTAATATTCAATGAATTTCAAACTTTTAGTCAAGCCACTGCATTGATAGATGGAAAAACTGTATCAACTCTGAAAAGAAGGGACTTTCTTTCTTTTTTTTGCAAATCAGAAAAAATGGAGCGTTTAAATCCAAGAAACAATTGATTAGATTGGTGCGGCCTAATGGTGAAAGTGAAGAAAATTAATGAGATTTATTTAAGCTCAGAAGAAATTCTGGTATGACTTTTCTATGTATTTTCTAACTACAGGTGTATGAACTGTGGGAAGATATTTTACAATGCACCAACTGGCCCGATCGCCCACGCAATGAGATTCCTATACAGCTGTGGGCCCACGTCGACAGAAGTATTTCCAGAGGATCCAAAATGTTTACTCCAAGCTGTACCCGATCCTCAAAACCCTTTCAGTGGGTCTCAGGCCAGGGTTTACCCTAAGCTGACTTAAGACAGGCAATGACCTTGTGGGTAGGCATCCTTCGACCTTGACAGACGGAGGAATTCCGTAATACACTTAGCGGAGATTCCCGAATCACTTGGAATGTGGCAAACACACTGCCAAGTCTCCCTGACCAATTTTGGAAGGAAAACCTTAGCTCAAAGACAGGCAAATTCTGACTTCAGAAGTTAACGTTTAACCTTTAAGAAAATTGTTAAATTATGCGTTAAAGTCCAAGGAGATTACTTTGATTGACAGCTGTCGTATGACCATTGTGAGTATGACACAGTGCAGAGTTTTGGCGGAAATCCGCCGTACCTCCTTTCTTTCCCCTTCACAAAACCACCTCTCATTACAGAAATCCGCCTGGTTTAATAGAAATAGTCCTTCGTTTACGCCTCAATCTTTTGTGAGAACTGTCAAAATTTTTTCCTTCACAAAACCACCCCTCATTACAGAAATCCGCCTGGTTTAATAGAAATAGTCCTTCGTTTACGCCCCAATCTTTTGTGAGAACTGTCAAAATTTTTTCCCACTCACAAAAACACCTCTGTTTACAGAAAAGCCTTCGGGTTTAATAGAGAAAGCTTTTTTTGTAACGTAACAGAAAAGATGGGGAACAATGGGCCTCACATTCGATTTGCTACAATATTAAGCATAATGGTAAAAATATTGGTTAATGACGTGTAAGTAAGTAATCTGCACAATTGTGTAAGCTTGGTCGAAGCTCGTGATTCAAGGCTGAAGGCAAGAAAAGGAAAATATAATAGCACCGATGTCTGGCTACGATGAGGATCACAGTTCGAGCTAAGGCCATACCAATTTTATTTCTTGGTTAATGGATTTTTCTAGAAAAATAATGGAGTGGGTGGGCGAAAATAATAAAAAATAAAAACAGGCCTAGGCATCCTCTTACGGCCCAAAATGGTACGATAGGAGCCATGAAGTCAACACACCAGGCTGGTTCAAAATTTAAACAGTGAATTTTGAACTTTTAATGATACCACTGCATTGAAAGATGGAATAAATGTAACAACTAGGAAGAAAAGGACTGTTTTCAACTGTTCAGGGCAAAATATCAGCATTTTGCAGTTGATTCTTTTTTTTTTTATTTATTTGCAAATCAGAAAAAAATGAAGCGGGTGAATCCGTTAACCAAGAAATTAAATTGGTGTGGCCTAATGTGTGAAATGACGCATGTGTAAATCCCACAGACAAAGAAACACAGACACCCCTAGATCTCACATAAGGCAACGCCAGACAAAAAGTCACAAGGTGGGTTCTTCCACGCTACTAGTCTAATGAGCGGAAATATCCATATTACTACTTCTGGTCAACCTCAGTTCACAGACAAAGACTTGGACGACTAATGTTTCAAAATTACCAGTCAAGAGAAGTCAACAGAGTGGAAAAATGGACGAAAATCGGCACAAAAACAGGTGACAACCGAAAATTACTGTCCGATTTTCTGCAATGTAATGAGCAGTGTGAATTTGCTAGTGACAAAGAAGGTTTGCCACATTGTGTTAATGACTCGTACAAAACTATGGAAAACAATTTTACAACAGAAAGGCTAAAAAGACTAATAATTATTTCAGTTAGTTATCCTTGTAGACAATGTTTATGCTAGCTGGCTTTTCCAAAATTGTTCATTATTCAGACTTCTACACAAATGAAAAAAGAATGATGAAATGATGAAAGATTATTATAAGAAAGAAACCTAGGAATAAAAGAACAAATCATGTTTTTCAATGGATGGTTTGTCTAGTTGCATTAGGAATATGAATTTTTCTACAGTGCTCAAGTGTATGAAATAGGGAAATAGGTTTTGTACAAACATAATATATTATATACAGTTCATTTCTCTCTTCGCTATACAGTCCACATCCTATAACAAAATGGCTTTCGTCTCCTATTGTGAGGGTAATTATGGGGGTGGTTTTGGACGCCACTGGGTAAATTGAAAAGGGAACAATACAGGCCCATTGGTGAGGCTCTAAATGGGGGATAACTAGCAACCTTTTGACCTTGAACAGATGTTAATGAGCCAATCATTTCCAAGGACTGTTATACAGCTTTTTGAAATGTTTGTTCTTGGAAAAAAATTGATGGCCATTTATTTATTGGAAAAGTTGACAGCTGATCTTTGAGGTCTTTTTGCCAGCATTTGTTGTTTGTGTTTGAAAAGAGGTAAAAGAGTTTTATTTTATTTATACAGTGCCAATACTTTATGTGTCATATGATTTATAGTGATCTGTTTTACAATGTCATTTTAGAAAATGTAATGTCATTTATTTAGTAGCATTCAGCCAAAATAAAAGTAGGATGGGGAGTGAGTGAAAATTTTTTTCAGATTATTCTTAGATTATATAATCATGTTACATTATAAGATTATTCTCTTATTGTTAGAAAAATACTTTGGAGAAGTAATGAAAATACACATGCGGTTTGTTACTTTTGAGGAGAGTTTAAAGCTTTCTGGATTTATTTTATTTTAAAGGGATCTGCTTCAAGCAAAGAACTTTACAAGAGGACCTGAAAAGAGCATAATATAACCTGGGAAGAGGCTGAAGAAGTGACTGCCTAAGGAATATAAAGAAATAAAGGCGTAACCATTGATAGAATAGGAGTGTTTTTGCACTGCTTACCTCATATGCCCCTGGACCCGGTACCTCGTCTTGCTTCAGTTGTTTAAACCTGGGTGATTTTTGTGTCAGGAGTGTCAGTTGATTCTCCAGAGGTACAGGTTTGGGATTGTAGGTGCCAGGACCTGAAGGATTGAGAGAGAATTGTACATTTAATTCCATCAAGCAAAACTGAAGGATATCAGGTTGGTAAGTAAGTAAAAGAGACTATTTTTACACAACCAAAAGCTGTGCAATGTGAACCAGTCAGAATTGCCCTGAGGAAGGTTAGCAGCTTATCATAGATGGTACAGGGCTGCCCCCTAGCATCCTATAGCGGTACTACAGGGAAAAACTGACCCGCAAGAGCAGGATCTGCTTTTGGCATGAAGATGTCACGAGGATGAACGAAGAATCTTTCAGAGGAAGGAACTATCCCCTCTGTCTTAGGGACAGTACAGGGCTGCCACCTAGCATCCTATGGCAGTACTACAGGAAAAAAACGTACCTGGAAGAGCAGGATCTGCCTTTGGCATGAGGATATCTCGAGGAGGTGCAAATCTTGTAGAAGAGCTAAGAAAGGAGCCTGCTTTTCTCCTGCCTTCCTTGGTGCGTGGGGCGCCTGGCTTCTGCTTGTCTTGTGTCCTGTGGGACCTCGCAACCTCGTAGGAGCCAGGAGGTGGATTTTCCTGAGAATAAGGATTAAGATGATTGTAATTTTACAATGACTGTGCCTTGGCCCATTCTCTCTTTGTTTTACTTCATCACTAACAGCCTGTCCTTGGTGCTGAACACCATCCACACACAGGCAAACACACCTGTCCTTGGTGCTGAACACCATCCACACACAGGTAAACATACCTGTCCTTGGTGCTGAACACCATCCACATACACAGGCAAACACACCTGTCCTTGGTGCTGAACACCATCCACACACAGGCAAACACGCCTGTCCTTGGTGCTGAACATTATCCACACACAGGCAAACACGCCTGTCCTTGGTGCTGAACACCATCCACATACAGGCAAACATTGCTAAACTGTATTGTATGACTTGGATGAACTTGGATCACTAGCCAAAGTAAAAATAAAATAATCCCTACCTACCGACCCTAATTTTTTCAGAACTGAAACAGGAAACACAACATTTTTTCCTAGGACTTATTCAACATGTCTTACCTTCATGGCAGTCTGTGGTGTTGTTAACCTCTCCGTCAGCGATGCAAAGTTTGCAGTGATCTGGTTCTTATATCTAACGGTCGGCTCATGTTTCACTTGATAGTGGGCCGGTCCGGGCAGCACCCCCTCGTGCTTCTTGATGATTGGCGCGGTCCGGCCGGCGGTGGTCCCGAAGACGCCCTTCCGCGTGCTCTCGAGGTAGGCGCGGCGCATGCTATCCTCAGACATGCCTGTGTGTAGGTATGCAGCTGGTCCTGGGGGGGGGGGGATTTACACAATTAGTACTAGAAAGGTAACATTTGCAAAGCAAAATGCATAATGTCTACCTTCGCATATGGTCTGCTCTGTTAACTCTTACTCAAACACATTCACATTCATGGTGACAGGAGTCTAAATCCCTCCTGCTATGAAATTGCAACATGATGTAACCCAACACCAGTTGCCATGGTAACAGTCACAAAATTGGTTCAGGTCATTACGGTCAGTGTTTGGAGAAGAAGAGGAAGAAACTGAGCAAAAATAATATGTTTCCTTTGGTAAACATAATTACTTTCACAAAGAAGGTTATTTTCTAGGGAGTGTGTGTCTGTGTGTGTGTGTATGTTTCTGTCAGTGTTAGTGGATTGTGTTCAGCACCAAGGACAGGGATGTCTATGTCTGTGTGCTTGTGTGTGTGGGCATGTGTGTGTGTGTGTGTGTGTGTATGTGTGAGTGTGTGAGTGTGTGTGTGTGTGTATGTGTGAGTGTGTGTGTGATGGTGTATGGTGATCTCTGTCAGTGTCAGTGGATAGTTCAGCACCAAGGACAGGGTGTGCGTGTGAGTGTACAAAAATGAAATACAGAAACTGGGTGGTAGAAGCTATAGTAACGAAAGTCAGATCTTCATTTCCATGGTTACCTGGTGTTCTTTTGACGTGGTGCTGAGGCTGGAACCTGACCGCGGTGGAGCCGAAAGGGCTTCTCTTCATTCCTGTGACTCTCTTCAGCCCCTCCAGCGCGTGTCGTGGGTCATTGTACGTTCCCGGGCCAGGGAGAACCTTTTTGTCGGGCACAAACCTCTGTAGAAGGCAAAACCGTATTGATGAGTGGAACTCGCAGCCACCAAGTACAGCAGGGGCATCATCATTAGATGTCCATTAGATAGCGTTATATCTCTAAACAACGTTTAGAGATATAACAGTGGGTCCTACTTGGTTCATACATGTTCAAAGGTTAGGTGTGACATTGGTTCAGTGTAATGTAGCCAGCAGACACTGATGTCTGATGATGTCTAGTCCCATGACCGACACTGGTCGTCGGGGGGACAAGGTAGACTTTGCAGCAGGAATGTAGCCAGGTCCTCCAGCTGACACTGCATGCCTGCAAAGCAGTTATACCAGCCATACAGAATCTGATACAGATACAAAGTTGACAAACAGTGCAAGGCTGCCATCTAGCAACTTATATCAGTACTGCAAGTAAAAATTTAACAGGAATAGCAGGATTGAGAAACATTAAATAAAAAAAAACACAAACCAACCTTTGCCTGTGACAGAAATGGTGGATGCTCAACCTCGATGCCCTCAGTACTGATCGCCGGTGGCCGGTTGTCAAACTGACCGGGTACCTCGTACTTCCCAGGACCAGGAACCGCCTGTAAGGTGAAGAAAATGAAGATTTTACACCTCCGTGGAGTATTTAGAGTTGTTGAAATTAGAGAATTTCTTGTTTCATTCATTCTTGTTTTATTCATTTCCACAGCAATGAAATCAGTTGGTTCTCGGATTTCCCTCTTCATTTTTTTTCAGATTTGCAGAGAAAAAGATTTTAGGTTCTGAATCAACTCCAAAATGCTGATATTTTGGCCGCAATTGTTCAAGTAAGTCCTTGTCTTCCTATGTGTTCGGGTTTTTCCATCTATCAATGCAGTAGTTTCATAAAAAGTTCAAAATTCATTGTGTGCATTTTAACCCAGCCTCTAAAAGTATGCTGACTTCTTAGCTCCTATTGTTACATTTCAGGCTATAAGAGGATGCCTAGGTCTGTTTTCTTTAAATTTTGCCCTGTCACTTCATGTTTTTTCTGAAAAAATCCATAAACCAACAAATTACATAAGTGTGGCCTTACAGCACTGTTTACGTCTACATACCCTTTTCTCCTCCTGGTTGACAATGATTTCGTGGTATCTCGGCAACTTGGACTCGAACACCGGTCTCTGTTCTGCCGTCGACGGTATGTGAGCATGCTCTGCAGTAGCCGGCGCAGACAAGTGAGCATCATACTCCCCTGGCCCCGGCCCTTCCTTTCCACCAAAGTCCATCCTCTTGGACGACAACTTGCCAAAGAAAACGCCCTTGTATTTTTTTGTAGCAGTGGTTGGGGAGGCGTTGGGGTTATAGTAGGCAGGGCCGAGGGTGCGGTCTTTGGAGGGGGGATCTTGTCTCCGTAGCGTGCCATCTTCTGCTTCTTCGTAGCCATGCGCCTGTCCAGGGGTTGGGATGGAAGGGGCTTCTGCTTTCCTCTGGTAGTGTACTCTGGATGTCATGATCTGGGTGGCAGAAATAGGAACGAGTCAGACATCATAGAGGGTCTGCATGCCCTTTTTTGAAAGCGTAATCAGGCCTTTTTACTTAGTCTCTGTAATACATAGGCAGCCGCCCAAAATCATTGCAAATCGTATTCAGTACATTGGCCATAATGCATAATTGTACACGTAAACGCAATTCATAATCAGCAGTGAAAATTTTGCATAATTCATAATCACTACCACCCCATGTAGGCCCTCATTGAAGAATTAACTGTGGTGCGGATTCAAATTCTTTACGTCGTTTTCTGTGTTATACCGGTTCTACTTCTACTTCTATGTAATACTGGTCAAAACCCCTCACTGGGGCATCACACCAGGGTGCTGGGTGCACGGCTAAGTGCGGCCGGTGGGGTGATGGTGCTAAAAAGAACAACATGAAAACAACAAAGTGCAAAAAAAGAAAAAAAGAACCGAAATTGTGCTTCAACTCTATTTACATGGCCGCACTTGGAGTCCTGATTACCTCTGGGGGCAGGGATGGCCCATGTACTGGGCCAGCCTGAGCTTAAAGCTACTGGTTGTGCTAGCTACTAGTATACAGATACAGATAATCCAGAAAACCATTTAAACGTACATTCCCTGGAGGCGCCACTGCCACTTGGCTCTGTTGTGTGGGTTCCTTGGTGGGGACACCAGCACCGGACGTTCTGATCCAGTCACTCTTCTTGGACAGGGTGTAAGAACCGGGACCGGGGGTGGTGGAGGCCGGCTCCTCAAACCGACGGGACTTGTTCTGTAGGGTTCTGCCACCTGAAAAACGCAGGTAAATACAGGTAAGGACAACGAAAACAGGTTTTCTGTGTTGATTTTCTGTTTGTAACCTTGTGTTTGTTTGCTTCTTTGTTTGTTTATTAATTGAAGAATCTCCATTAGTGTTGACAATACATCACTACTCTTCCTGGAGTCCTCTTGCATCAAATACATTTAATTTAACGTTACATTATAACTACTAAATTAGTACTACATCTGCATTCACTTCTAACTACATGTACATTGAAAAAAAATGTCTTACTTATTTAACATCTGCCATCTAATAATAATAATGATCATAATACAACAACATATCCCCTGCACGCTTTACCCCAATTTAGGGGTGTTGTGCAGTATCCAAACAAGAACAAGAACATCATTTAAGTAAAGTTTACACATTTAACATCAATCAATAACCATAATTAACAACATTACATCTGACAACAGGCTAACTAATCAACAAAAAATGTAATAACTTGCATTATTGTTTGCTAGGTTTCGTAGAGTAAATTGTATTAATTATTCAATTACATACCTGAGACGCGGTCCTGTGCAAACCGTGCGTCGTAGTGTCCGGGACCGGGCGCGGCGATCACGCTGTCCTGAACAGTCAGGAACGTTTCACGACCGGTCATGGACAGGAAAGGAGCGTAGCCATCTGTGTGGGCAAAACATCATCTAATGTTATGTGTGTTAACATAGGCAAGACATCCGGACTTAATCTCCAAAGAGGATGTTTTGGTGGCTAATGGATACAGCCTGGCCAATTTGATCCTGGCCAATTTCATACTCTTTTCCAGCCACCGTAACATCTGCTTGGAAATTATTCCAGACTATGTTCATGAAAGCAGCACATACACAGTTCAAAACCTTTTCCAAACTGTGTACATCGATGGTTAGACACCCACTATATATACAATATATGTAATGAGATACACAAGAAAACTGTCACTCAAGCAACTGAATGGATTTTGGAAACTGTCAGACGTTTCAAGTAGCATCCACTATTTTTGTCAGTAACTGCAAAGTTGTGGATGCTACTTTAAACGTCTGACAGTTTCCAAAATCTATCCAGTTACTTGAGTAAGCTTGAGTTTAACCGACGGTGTGTTTGCACCAAAGTTACAATTTCGTGACACGAATCATAAAGCAATCAACCACCAGCTAGAATAATTTAAGGCTTCCTTGACTACATACGTAACGTTGCAAACGAACTTACTTCAATGTTGTTGCTGTCCTTGCTTAAATACGTCTATTTTTCCGCTAGACGTGGTCTCTAGGTGCCTACTTCAATATACGCCCCCCTCCCCACACTCGTCCATTTTAGATATCCTGAAACATCCACTACAGATTTTCTTGAGAAAAAGTATAAAATTCTGGACCTACCGGAGCGAACTTTAGTCCTAGTCGGAGGCGGTCCCTCGTATGTTCCCGGCCCGACGGCTCCCGTGGTCCCGGTGGGCTGCATGTAACCCATACTTCTTGGAGCTCGATCATACATGGCGGAAAGCTTCAAGAAACTTCTTGAAACGAGAAATCTTTTTCACACTTCGCTGCGTTGCCCCCTCCTAAAATTCTTGAAGGAAGACCCTAGGTTTGCTAAAATGTGGTGACAGTTGCCTCAAATGTCCCTCAATCGCGTGGATTCCTCAAAGTCTTGGGAATAGGATCCCTTGGATAATCTTGAGGAGGTTGTCACCTTCTTAAATCGTCCTCTATGGTAACAACAGAGAAACACAGCTGACCTCGCGACGTTGTTTATTGCGCTACGTTGCTAGGTAACGCGCGGCCGCAAAACGTCCGCAACGTCGTAAAATCCGACCAGGCGCGCCGCATTGCTGCAGCGACATGTAGCGATATATAGCAAAACTGCAGGAATGGATTTTTAAAAAGACTCCCCAAGAGGGTGACGTTGGATCTTTTATCGATATAGAAAAGTTGAATCATAGGATAAATGAAACTACGGGCGTAGAAACTACGACTTTAGTATTTTGACCGAGTTTCATACTTACAATTTCATTATATTCAGATGCTCTGCATAAAGGCTTGCAAAATAGAAAAGCAGTAGAAGGTAGGATAAGAATAAGAGTATTTTAGCTAAGCCCACGTGTCTCCATTAACACTTTTATTGACATGCATAGCAAAAAAGAACGAAAAAGAAAAAAATACACCAAACATAAACCCAAACCCCTGCTTGGAGAGTACCAAACCTCTGCTTGGAGAGTAATCGTTCCCCCATCTCTTTTTTTTTTACCTCCATGGTTCCCCTAAGGGCTGCACCTGCCCCCGTGATGTTTCCGCGAGGCCCTTTCATGTTCCCGCGCTGAAAAATGGCGCACGACAGCCAACTTTTCCCCCGGGAGCAGGCCGCTCTCACAGCCGGAGACAGGCGCCGAGGCGCTGCGGTATATACACGTATAGATTTTATCGGAAATTTATAACTTTGGGTGGCGCGGAGAACCTTTTATGGTAGGTCGCTGCATGGCGTGCGGGCGAAACCATTCCACTCTCCAACAGATCGCAATCCCCACTTACAAAGACATTTAAAAATATAAGATACAACCATAAATGTTTGACTCAGTAAACTCCACCAGTACACATCTCTTAAATGACGATGCGGCTAGAAATAGTAACGCATAGTAACGCAAATTTCATTTGATGATCTGAGCAATAGAGGAAAATGGTCCCTATGCTTTTAGATGGACTGGTCCAGGTGCAATGCTCAGTGTTGGGTTGAACGCAAGCACGGGAGGATAGCTCTGCGCCGCTAGCTATAGCTACGGGTGGGAGAGCGTTAGAGAACCGGGAGACCCTTCCTAGCTTGCCTGGACGGCGTTGCAACCTTGAGACGGTACAGAGGAGGAGAGGAAATTGTGATCCGTAAGAAGACGTGCCGGATGCTGCAGTGAACGCGAAGATCACAGCCAATCAGCGCGCTCGGTTCCGCATTACGTCACGGTGTGAAGAAAAAAATCTGGTGGGTCTGTCCCGGCCTCAGTACAACGCGAGCCAAGCTGGATGGTACGGCAGGAGTAGCGCGCAAGCCCCACGGACAGAACAAGCGGGCATCGCAACCGACAGCCACGGCCACTGGCGTCACCCTCACCGGTATCTCCATCCCTGAAAAGCGGATCACCCTCCCGAGGCGGCGCGTCAGCCAGGTACGTTGAGTCTAACCGGCGCCGACAGGTCCGACTGTTCCCCGGCCCGCCCGCTGTCTCCCGCCCGTCGGCTCCGCTTTTGTTCTGCGTTAAACGCCGGCGACGGGAGTCGATTACTCACTCGCACGCAAGGTTTTTATATAATATATAATAATATTAGCCTCCGTAGCAGGCTTATAGAACTGGGGGTTTTTGGTGGTCTTCGGCTGTTTTCTGATTAGACCAGTTCTAAAAACGGGGGTAATTCAACCAGGCCGGCTATGTTGTCTATATGCAATCAGAAAATAGTACATAAAAGCTTCAAAAGACCCTGAAGACCCCCCAAACCCCTAGTTTTTGGCATGTTGTGGAGGCTATAATAATATAACGGCGAGGTTTTTCTATATAACTGTGTCATGTTGTTTTAATGTCACGCCCCTTTCCGCTGGCCAGTTGGTCTTGCCCCATCCTAATCGCTACATTCACTTGTCCCTCTAAAATCGCTACAGACACGTCCCAAGAATAATGATACATGCCATTGGCAACATCGCATGACCCTTAATATATTGCCACAGTAAAAATGTGGCAACACAATGTTGCACTTCTAGGCTACATCATATTACAAAATTAAATTTATTTGATTCACTTGTCCCTCTAAAATCGCTACAGTCATGTCCCAAGAATAATGATACATGCCAATGGCAACATCGCATGACCCTTAAAATATTGCCACTGTCAAAAAATGTTGCAACACAAATGTTGCACTTCTAGGCTACGTCCTCACATTTCTTAATTGAATTTATTTGAGGTTGCAAATGCCAAGTATGATGTCACAAGTAGGATCCATTCACAAATGGTACCATGATTGGTTTGGACAGTGACACATTTCTAGTCCGGCCACACCAATTTAATTTGTTGGTTCTTGGATTCGCCTCTTCATTTCTGATTGTCAAAAAGAAAAAAAAAAAGATTCTGGTTCTGAAGCAACTAAAAAATGCTCATATTTTCCCCCCAACCATTGAGGAAAGTCCTTTTCTTACTAGTTGTTACAGTTTTTCCATCTATCAATGCATTGGTTTGATTAAAAGTTCAAAATTCATTGTTTAGATATTAACCCAGCCTTTTGTATTGACTTCATGGCTTCTGTCGTAGCATTAGGTGCTATAATAGAATGCCTAGACCTGTTTGAATTTTTTTTCGCTCTGTCGCTCCATATTTTTTCTTAAAAAATCTGAGAACCAATAAATGAAACTGGTGTGGCCTCTGGTAATGTTAGAGGGATGACAACACGCTCCGAACAAATCAAACCCTCTACACTTCCTTTTAGAGCGTTGCCAGCTGTTTGCTGGGTTGATGTATATTTGATGGTATCACTTTTGTGTTCGTATGACCGTTTCACAATACTGTGCCCCAGAATACTTGATACTGTCCGAGACATTTATAATCAAAAGAGGCAGTACACAGCTGGTTGAAGCCTTTGAAATAAAACGCTTTTCAAGAGCGTTGAGCAAGGATTATGTATATGTGCACTTCACAGTTTTCTTTGTATTTAATGACTGTTTTGCTAATCTTTAAACTAAATATCCCACTCGATTTATTACCTTCATTAAGAATGTCATGTTTTCGGTACTGTTTTCGGTGTGTGTGTTTGTGAGTGAGTCTGTTTGTAAACACGATAACTCGAGGAGGCTTACATAGATTATCCAATGAGGTTTAAAATCCTTGGATTGTTTTGTATTTTTGGCAGCAGAGAAACATAAATTTTATAATTCGTCAGTCATAAACATTAACATAATTTGGCAAATGTATGAGGTCTTCAAGAAATTGCTACTTATTCAGTAATACTGTATTTTTGTATGTGACAACTGCCCCACTGTATGACTGAATGCTCTGTGCATTGCCTGCCTTCACCATTTGGCAATGTTCTATCTTTATATATGGACCACTTTGAGGCCCGAGACAAAACTGACCCCATCTTCACAACATTTCTCCTTTCAATTGATGCACTTAACAGCTGGCAAAGGGCTTAGTGAAAGTAGAGGTCATCACCATTTGTCAAAAAGAACATACTTGGACTGAATGCTTATATTGTGATCTTACAGAAAAGTGTGGCATTGAGCATTAAGGACTTTTCTCTCTTCTAAAAAGAAGTACATGTAAGTAGTCATGAACAAAATCTTGTCTTCAATCTGCTAACGCTTCATGTAAATTAAATTATGATATGTATAAGACGAAATCTGAAAGATGAGCTAGAATTTATAAAGGAAGGTCATAGAGAAAGGTAAAAGGACTGTGAAGGGAAAATTTCTCCAGGTATATTTTAGTATTTTAGTATAAAGTAAAATATGTTTGAGTATGAGTGTGTGTGTGTGTATGTGTGTGTGTGAGTGTGTGTGTGTGTGACAATACACTAAGCTTATTTTCACCATTCCTCTGTTATATCATGTTAGCAAGAAGGTGCTTTTAAATTAACAAATGGGAAAATTGTACATGTAATTGGTATTTTAATAGGAAATGAAAAAAAATCAATACTGTTGCCCGCATTCCTCCTTACATAGAGATATATGCACGATTGTGACCCTTTCATAGGATATAAATAAACTGGAATCACAGCGGATGTTTTTCATAAGAAAATCGCCTGCCATTCCGTCTCCGACATGAGTCACCCCGAATGTGATTAAAGGCCCAACCCTGTTGCCATGGTAACATTAAAGGACTATTCATGTTGCCATAGAAACAGGTCTAAATCTTTAATGCTGTGAGCAGTGTCCTCTTTCCCCTGTATAAATTTCTGGTGTGACCTCTGTAAAGATCTTTTACCAAGGTTACCTGGGGTATTAATTAACATTACACACTAACAAGTTGTCTTAATTAATAGTTATCATCATAAAAAGAGAATTGTTTTAAGGTTTCGTTGTAAGTAAAGCAGAAAATATGTTGGGCAAAAGCTGTAAAAACAGCCTTTGAGATTTGTTTATTGTTGCTTTATACAACTTGGTGACATAATATTTAACAAATATAATCATAAAATGTACAGAAAATGCAAAAATAAGCAAAATCAAGCGAAAACAAGTGGTCTGAAAGAAAAGAATTGTATGTGGATGATTTTTGTATATTAAGCTTTGAATAATGCTTTATAAGTGTTTCTCTAAATGGTTTCAGGTGTGAGGTAGCAAGGATTTATACTCTTTATGTTTCAGCTAACTGAAAATCAATAAAGACCACGTCTTTATTGTAATTTGAGACTTCCAATTCCTTAAGTGATCTTCAAAATTTACAGCTGAATCTATCTAACTCCCATGTATTAATTAGATTGTATAAGTTTTTCTGCAATCATTTGATACAAAGCAGGCTCGAAATTCATTTTTAGGAATAGGTGCACTGGTGTTACCCAACCTACAAAATTGGGTGCACAAAAAAAATTTGGATGCAGCATATAAAATAACCTTAGGCCACACCAATTTAATTTGTTGGTTCTCGGATTTTTTCAGAAAAAATATGAAGCGACAGGGCGAAAAAAAATAAAATAAAAACAGGTCTAGGCATCCTATTATAGGCTTAAATGCTACGGAATGAGCTATGAAGTCAACACAAAAGGCTGGGTTAAAATTTAAACATTGAATTTTGAACTTTTAATCAAACCACTGCAATGATAGATGGGAAAACTGTAACAACTAGGAAGGAAAGGACTTTCCTCAACTGTTGGGGGGCAAAACATGAGCATTTTTCAGTTGATTCAGAATCAATTTTTTTTTTTTTGCAAATCAGAAAAAAACGAAGAGGCGAATCCGAGAACCAACAAATTAAATTGGTATGGCCTTAAGTATTACAACAAAGATTTTATTACTTTTCTGACACGGTAGATGTAAAAAATATCCTGTATACTAGTAATATTAATTGTTATAACTGTTACATAATTAAGTTGGTGTGTTATGCCGAAAGGCGGTTATACCGGCTATACTAATGCAGATACAGACATTTGTGTGCATTTAATATCTTTTCATAAACCTATAAAAATATTTGGGTGCACAGGAAAGAACTGGGTGCACAGCTCCAAATTTGTGTGCATTGAAGTTTATTGGTCAAACATTACCTGTGCAATCGCAGCCTTTTATAGTGCTGAATTGATGCAGGGTTTATAATCGGTTTACAAGTACATACTTATTAGGAAGCAATCAATAATCACAATAATACATATAACACATTGGCTCCACACTTTTTGTGGAACTGTCACAAGGGTCTGTGCGGCTGCCATTCGGCACCACCAGGTGACCTCAATGCAACTTTCCCTAACACATGCACCCAATATTTCGAGCCCTACAGAGTGTTAGTCCCTCCCTCATGTGTTTGTGGAAGTAGTGTGTCAGCGGGTTTGGTATGTTGACTTCATGGCTCCTATCATAGCATTTGGGGCCATAATAAAATGCCTAGGTTTTTAGTAATTTTTTTCCCTGTTGCTACATACTTTTTCTAGAAAAATCTGAGAACCAACAAATCAAAATGGTGTGGTCTTATCATCCGATACAGAGTGTTAGTCCCTCCCTGATGTGATTGCGGAAGTAGTGTGTCAGCGATCCCTCCTGCGTCACCAGATGTGTTTATGCCGGTTATGCATATTTGATGAGCCGCGACGGATCTGAAACTTTAATGACCCAGGTGTTAGATCTGACCTGTAACATTTAAGGGAGGGCTTTATGTTGGGAGAACACAGGAAGAGATTATGTGATGATGGAAGGGTAGTTAATCATTCTGTTAAATTAACATGGAAAAATGCACTGAAAACCATACCAATTTATTACTAGTAATTAAGAGTTAATGACCTGTCCCAAGGTGTATACAGGTGACTCATAAGGCCAGCTCATCATTTTCTATAAGGCCATGTTGATTTGATTATATGGATGACATCCGCGCGTGCATGAATTTTTGGTAATACTGTAAATCGTACAAAACAGTTGCAAAATGAACAAATATATACCGTAAGTTGAAAACGATACCGATGTCGTAGAATGCCAAAATCAAATGAAAAAGACAAAAATGTAAAGAAATGAATTTGAAGGCTAGATTGTTTGCCATACCATACCCTGTGTCATTTGCTTAACCTTCAAAACCACGTAGATTTCATAATAAAAGCATTTTTTTTTGGCCAAACTTTTTTTTAATCGCACGCTCGCATCAATTTTGGGGTTCCCAGAGGATGTTATCCATATAATCAAATCAACATGGCCTAACCACCGATTAAACTATTGGGTGAGTGAAGTGTTTTTTGGGAGGAAAAACTCCCGTACACACACTATTGCACGATACGTTGAAAACAAAGATGGCAGACTAAAACTTAATCTTGTGCCCAGGGTCATGTGAATCATTGGATGATTCCACTTACAGTGGGGGTGGCAACGCAAATTACGTTTTCTGCCCTTCCACTCAAAGTTCACTCAAAATTTTTATTATATATTCCTATTGAACATTTTAATTCAATAAAGAAATGTTCTACAAAAAACTCTAGTTGGCAAAAAAAGGCCACTCCCCCTACTGCATAATGGTATGGTCAAGTGGTCAATTATTCTAATAAATGACCACTTATCATAATTATTCACCATTTGTCACATTTTCTATCACATCACAGCATTATAAACAACATAGAATGGGGACTTATGTTTGGGGTAACTTTCTGGAAATGTGATTGATGTCAGCCTCATCAGGGAGGGTCGAAGGTACCCAGAGGTTTGCTCTAATGGCGTCGAATGATTAAATGGTTCGGCTAGCAAAGACGAGGTCACCGGTTTGATTCAGTACATTCCTGAGATGATGTGTCCTCGGGAAAGACAGTTAACACAACTTTTCTCACTCCCGTAAGGTGTAAAATCAGACCACCAGTGGCTTTGGTTGGGGAGGTAAAAGGTACAAATGTAGTGGAAGGAGATGGTTAGGCTCCATCTTCTAATACCTTGCTAGATAGACACACTTTGATATAATCTAAGCCCCTATGACCTCAATCAGGCTATGGGACTATCTTTACCTTTACCTTTAAAGATTAGTGTCTTGTAAAATGCTGGGCCCCCTCAGAAAACAGCTATTGCAGGCTGAATGGGGCCACCCAGCCGTCCTAAAATGAAATAAATAAGTAAATATTATTATAAATATGTAGTTGTGTATACATTTTCTTAAAAGCATGTTTGTCTTTACCGTTTTTCCTCCAGGCTGTAGCCATGAACATGATGACTGCAGTGATCGTGGGGACCCTGATGTTCGCTGCCATCTCAGGCGGAATCAGCCATGCATGGCCCAGGGTACACACCAGCCACGAGAGCCACAATGAGGTTCTTAAGGTAAGACAATGAGCAACAACTTGTTCACTAAATACTTACTTACTTGTACTTGTTGAGGTCTCCTCGAGTCAGTCGTTCGAGTGGCCTGCGCACAGAACTCGTCTCTTCCTCAACAGTCCTCTCCACTTCTTCCTATCTCTTGCTGATTCCTTTAGCTCTTCTAGACTGGTACTAGGCCTCCCTAAGATCAGCACAGCATCTTCCAGGACACAGTTATTCCATGACTTCCTAGGCCTTCCCCTAGAGCGTCGCCCATAGTTCGGTTTCCAGTCCAGTAGATACCTGGGCAGCCGCTCTTCAGGCATTCTTACAATGTGCCCAAACCACCTAAGCCTGTTGAAAGCTACGGTTGTGGCTATGTTCACTAACTGTGCTTGCTGTAATACATCACTGTTCCGTACCCGGTGATACCATCTGATGCGGAGGATACGGCGCAAACAGCGTTGGTGAAACGTTTCAAGTTCACTAAATAAGGCCTAGGAAAAATAATGTTGTGTTTCCTGTTTCCCAACAGACCCTAGAAAAAAACTGCCAACCCTAGCCTTTTTTTGGTCACCCCCGCAAGGGACATAAATTTTTCAAGCTGATTGACCATTTCCAGGGCGATGATCTGACACCTGAGTGATGATGAAACATTGTACAACATTAGCATAGAAAATGTCCGCATGGAATTTTTACTTTCTTAAACTGCATTGTTGGATCACTAGAGATCGCCAAAGTCTAATAAAAAAATAAGGAAGAAAAGACAATTCCTAGTAAAATCCTAATTTGGATCAACCCTACAGCATCGGATATGGCTAAGCAGTCTTATTATAAAATGAGTGAAAATGACAGTAAAGCAATACGTCAAGTAACAAGTAGTTCCATTGGTTTTGCCTCATACTATGATCCTTAAGATTGAGACCCTTGCATTGTACAATGTGTGCCATATATTACAATCTATGATACAGCTACATCCATCATCCTTATTCAATGATTCAAAGTGATGTATGGTCCAAACAACCACTCAGCATTTCTGTTTGTACTTCCTATAGTAACCATCTTGTGTTCGAGGTAATGCGTATGCAGGGCTCGAAATTCATTTTTGGGAATAGGTGCACTGGTGCACCCAACCAAAAAAATTGGGAGCACCAAAAATTTTTTGGGTGCACCATATATAACAAAACCTAATTACAGATCTTACTGCTCATAGGCCTCTTATGAGCTTGAATCTGAAATGGGAGCTAAACTTCAAAATCTTAAACAAGTACTACAACAAAGATTTTATTATTTTTCTAACACGTAGATGCCAAGAATATGCTGTATATTATTGTACATTTGATATGTACAAAAATGCCCACAAAAAACATTTGGGTGCACTGGTGCACCCACAGAAAAAAATTGGGTGCACAGCTCCAATTTTGGGTACACTAAGGTGCACATGCACCCAGTATTTCCAGTCCTGTGTATGCCAGCTGAGATATTAGGCTGCCTCAAAGAGGTCCTTTTGTTATGCTAATATCACCCACTGGTAGGTTTTACAGCTAATAATTTGGTAAGACTGAGAGATTGATTTTAGCTCTGGTTTGATAGATTTTTTTCCAGGGGCCCAAGTTAGGTTGAAGCTGAAACTATCACAGCTGTACTTGTAGTGTGATGATTACTTGATCGAATAGGGGAGTTTCAATGCTATGAGTTGTATATATATACACTATAGACTACCATGTAGCATACGGTAAAATATGTAAGGCCACACCAATTTAATTTGTTGTTTCTTGGATTCGCTCGCTTCATTTTTTTCTGATTTGCAAAAAAAACCCAACCATTTCAGGCTCTGAATCAGCTCCGAAATGCTCATATTTTGGCCCCAACAGTTGAAGGAAGTCCCTTCTTTTCAGTGAAAGTTGTACAGTTTTTCCATCTATCAATGCAGTGGTTTGATTAAAAGTTAGAAATTTGAAATGCCCAAAATGCCTTACGAAATATATCTTGAAGGCAACATTGTATGTTACAATGTAGTGACTGATTTTACATATGGCTTCATGGAGATGCGCTGGGGATGATTTTTCTCTGCATGGTAACACACGCGGGTATGAATCTCGATGCACGGTTGTTGATTAATAGTCAGCCATGCTCAGGATTATCTTCAAGTTTGTCTTGTAGGACAGCAGGGTTCTCACTTAATCTAGCTACATGTGTATAGGCTGTTTGAGCATAGGGGCCCCCTACGCTGTGATTTAAAAAAAAAATTTATTTTTATACTTTCATTTTTTATTTTTATTTTTTATTTTGTCTAGCTATAGGCTGTTTGAGCATAGGGGCCCCCTACGCTGTGATTTGGACCCCTACACTGTGATTTAGTCCCTACACTGTCTTTCAACCAGACTATGGGTGTTTCTTTTGGCAGAAGATCGTATAACCCTAAAATTTCATTATATTAGTGTTTAAAATATTACAATTTTGCTTTAGAATGAAGTTATAACCAAGGAATTCAAATATATATCCCTCAATAAGAAATAGTGTCTCAGAGGGCTATATGATAATATATATACAAGTTTTTAAAAAATTACAATTTTACATCAGAATGAAGTTATAACCAAGGAATTCAAATATATATCCCATAAATAAAGAAATAGTGCCTCAGAGGGTTATATATTACATAATATTATACAAGTTTTAAAAAAATTAATGATTTTACTATAGAATGAAGCTATAACCAAGGAATTCAAATATATATCCCTCAATAAGAAATAGTGTCTCAGAGGGTTACATATTATATATATGAGTTTAAAATTATTTTGGAGAATACCATACCCCCTACTGTGGTCATATCTTATTGGGACTCAATGCGTGGCTTGCGCTGTGGAAATTTGTCCTCTGTACCTGACCCCTATGCTGTGAAAAAAAATTCTGGTGAGAACCCTGTAGGATATTAAATTTGAAACCTGATTCCCCTGGAATATGAAATTATGGGAAGATGGAAGGCAGAACGGCAGGATACGTTTGTCAGACGTGATTCATGTTAAGAATGACTCAGACAGGAGGCCTGCGGTTACATCATGCATACGGAATGCTACAATGTTGTGACAGATGCGTATCAAATTTTGTGGCAAAACAAACTGTTACTAAGGCCACACCAATGTAATCAGTTAGTTCTCAGATTTGCCCTAAATTATGATGAGCCTCATATTTTGGCCCCTGAACAGTTGAAGAAAGATGCATCATGCATACGGAATGGCAACATCTCATGCTACAATGTTGTGATAGATGCGTATCAAATTTTGTGGCAGAATAAACTGTTACTTATTGGAATCATCTGCCTAATGTTTTGCTTGTAAGAAAATAAGTTCAGGTTCTGAATCAACTCCAAATTATGCTCATATTTTGGCCCCAGTTGAAGAAAGTGGCATCATGCATACAGAATTTCCATCTCATGCTTCAATGTACATGTTGTGACAGACATGATTGTATTAAATTTCATACATGATATACATTCGGAAGTGATTGGTCATTACCAAATATCCTGATGAAGGTGACAGTGGTTGTTGAAAATTTTATCCTTAGCTACTAGTAATGCTTGTGTTGGAATTAAGTTCAGCGTCATACTACCTTCTCTGTACTAAAGTATTCAATTCATGAAACAATGGTTTTGAAAATGTTCCCAGTAGAAGAGAATGCAATCCTAGGCAATATTGGGCCATATATCAGTGTTGCAGACTGGTTCTATCATAGATCAGTACAGGTCAGGTGCAGTACAGATATTAGGTGTAGATATCAGATATCCCTACACAACTCAATATTTTCTGATCTGTGTATGTATGTACAGGTGGTTTATGTTTGTGTACAGGCAGATATCTCATTTAGTGTATTTATAAATCACGTGTTCACCTGATATTCAAATATTTTGGGCTAAGCATCTTTGATATTAGTATTCTTATTTCAAAAATGCTCAAGGTGTGGCATTTTTTGGGTATGTACATGTAGATGCCATGGCAATTTTGAATGATGTGAGACTTTTAGACCTTAAGGCTGGGATTTGAACCCCTGGCCTTCTTATCCTAAAATTGAATTAAAGGCTTGCTATTACGATGATGTCTGTGACATATGGCACAGAAATTGATAGATGTGGATTATGGCATTATATGCTAATAAACTGATTCAGGGTGGTAGAGTTTTGAAACAAAAAACTGTAGTAATGTCATGATCATGACCACCAATAAGTACATGTAGCTAGAACCTGAGCCTACAATACAAAACATGCAACCATTTTCCATACGTAACATGTATACAACTGTGACAGTCGTAATGTCATGATCATTGGGATTAAAAAATGAACAGTCACACAGACTATACTGAAACTTCAGCAGTAAGATCTGAGAAAGCCTCTCTCTTTCTTCACATTTTACGCACATGCATCACGTTTTATGGTCAGAATTAATTTATTGACAGTCATAATATCATAATCAGTGGGATAAAAATGATCACACAGACTATAGAAACTTCAACAGTAAGATCTGAGAAAGCCTCTGTCTTTCTTCACATTTTTACGAACATGCACCACGTTTTATCGTCAGAATTAATTTATTGACAGTCATAATATCATAATCAGTGGAATAAAAATGATCACACAGACTAGAAATTTTAGCAGAAAGCCTCTCTCTTTCTTCACATTTTTACGCACATGCATCACGTTTTTATGGAGCTTTGATGGGAGCTCTATCCCAGGCTGATGACAGCAGTCGAGGCGCCATATGGCCTCATTTCTCCATAAACGCAGCGCTGTCGGGATATTGTCCATCATTCTGGCAACATGCCATCACTGGTCATCAGGGCCATTCAGTGATTTAAAAGCTGCCAAAATGACAAATCTACCTTTTTTTTTCAGGCTATACCGAATTAATTAATTGGTTATCAGATTGGTCCAAAAAGTTGAAGAATGCTCTGTGCTTTCCTAGTTACAGTTTTACATTTAGTTCAATAAAAAGGTTAAAATTCATTGTTAGAATTAAAAACCAGCAGCC